AAGTGAAAGAAATAGTATAAAAAGTTGGTGGAGAAGTAGGTGAAATAAAATATAGTAAATAATAAAAGTTAATGTGGAAAATAAGTGAAAGAAATAATATAAAAAGTTGGTGGAGAAGTAGGTGAAATAAAATATAGTAAATAATAAAAGTTAATGTGGAAAATAAGTGAAAAAAATAATATAAAAAGTTGGTGGAGAAAATATGATTAAAAAATGTAAGTGGAATAATTAGAAAAGTTGGTGTATAAAAATTAATATGGAAATGAGATGGAAAAAGTGAATGAAAAAGGTAGATTATGTGGAATGTGATATGGAGGGTGATGTGGATGGTGATGTGGAGAGTTGGGTGTGTTAAGAGAATATGGGTGGTGAGGAAGTAAAAAAGTAAGAGATTATTTTGGGCCATTGGATTAAGTGTTTAAAAGAAAATTTGAGTGTGCAAAAAGTAAAACAAATAGTATTTTTCATGTTGGTTTTTTTATATTTTTTTTATTCACTTTTGTGATGAATTTAATTTATTCGGACAAAATTGGGTGTTGACAACAACTAATATAGTCAATCCGGACGAAATTGAGTATTGACACATTCTTTCTTATATTTTCATTTTCAGTTGGATATAACTCTTGAATTCTCTATCTGCAATGTGAAATTCTTTATACCTCAGGTTTTCTTAGATAGAGTGGAACGATTTATCCAGTTTATTGCGATTCATGAAGATCAAATCTTTCAGAAACGAGTCTGCATTCAGCTGGTATTCTGCTTTTGAACGCATTTCATGAACTGATATTCCTTAGCTATATGTTCTTTTAATATGCTTTTATATGTTACTGCTTCCTGGCATGTGAATGTATTTACAGGCTGCAGAAAATAATGAAGAGATTAGAGCAAGGAGAAGAGGAGAAATGCCTCGAGAACCCCGAGCCTCCCTTGTGGATAAGGTTAAATATTAGGATATATTGTTAGATTATTTTCTTTATTTGTGTTTTTATTTTCTACAGCATGTTTTGGAACACCACCTAAATTGCTTTTCGGGACTGCAAAAGTAATTCTACAGGTGTTTCCTAACAAACTAATAGGTTTCTGAATTGGAAACCTATCTAATTGGCACTATCACACACAAAACAAACAGAAAAAGAGTATGAACTGTATATTTTTGTATAACTGCACGGCCACACCCACCAAGAGAGCCAAGTTCTCTCTCCACAGGATAGGAATAATCCTGTCTATACACTAATACAATTCAAAAGGTGTCCAAAATCAGAATACAATAGCTCTTTTATAGGAGCTTTATTTCCCGCCCAAATACTAATACAGTTATAACTACCTAACGCTTCTCCCCCGCTTTATTCCCTTTTCTCTTTCTTTCATAAACTATCCATTTCCTATCACAAACACTAAGGGTAGCATGTCTGTGACAGGGAGGCTAGGCCAATGTTTGACCCATCAAATGCAATGAGAAATTTGGAAATGCTTATCAATTTCAAACTAAAATGATTCTGATTTTTTCAGGTTAAATTAGGAGATCCTGGATACAAGGAAAGATATTATGCTGAAAAGTTTGGTGTATCAAATCTTGAGGAGATTGATAAAGTTAGGAAAGATACCGTAAGTTCTATGTCTGACAAAAGTCTAATCATGCAAAAAAAATTGCAGTTGTTAGATATGCTTTTATATTCAAATCTAATGTCCACACATGTTATTTAATCTTTTAAATGCTGACAGTGTCCATTTATAAGCATTCTGACTTAGAAAGGAAAGCATACAAACATATTTCTACCTTTTCTTTTTAATTGATGTGGCTATACTTAGGGTCTTGATTCTTGAACTTTACTGTTCCCTCTACCTGTGTTGTTCCAAAGGAGGATAGGGAATCTGCTTATGCCCTTCAACTGCATGTTGTCTTCAAATGGTTTTAGATCTCTTGATACTGGCATAAACAAAACTCAATGTTGCACTGAAGAATAGCTTCTTTGATAAATATTTTGGAAAATATAATGTTGGACTAGAAGTGGACATCATGTGCATTCTTAACAGGGATAGGTGATTTATTGATTCTGAATATTTTGCGTTCTTGTGCATATTATGCTTCTCATCCTCATTAATTTCTTATATTAGAACTGGAATTCAGCTCATTATTTTAGTTGTCTTTTAGGTCTTGAAATATGTGGAAGGCCTTTGTTGGATTTGTCAGTATTATTATCAGGGTGTCAGCTCATGGAAGTGGTTAGTGTTTTTTATTTATTTATTAGGTTTAAAGTTATTTTTGTTTATCAGTTTTCTGTGATTCACTCGACAAGTTGGTGTATTTACATGCATGAAAGAGAAATATAGATGTAAGAGATGTTAAAAACTATGTGTACATGGACTAAATAAGAGAGTCCATTTTAGACAAGTTGAGGACATGACAATAAATATATAAAATGATATGCTTATAGATTGCATTTTAATAAATGTAGTTCCAATTAGATGTTCCTGGAAAGATTCTGATTAAATAAGGAAAGAAATTGAAATATAAAAACATTCGAAGAGGACATCTTTAGATATTTCTTTTATTCTGTTAGATATATTATATCTTTTATCTTTTAGTTAGTTTGTTATTATTTCTCATTTGTATTTTGGGCTTAGCCCATATTTCTTTTATTATAAATAGAGAACCCTATGTGTGTATTTTACACAAGGGAGATTAATTTAAATATAGTTTTTCACTATATTCAACATATTCTAACACTCCTCCTCAAGCAAACCAAAGCTTATTAAACTTTAGCTTGTAATGAGAATAATTTACTTTGCAACAAATTAAGAATAATTATGTATTAGTGGTAAACCAGATTAAGACATGGGGGAAAAGCGACATACATGTTGGAAATAAGAGATCTAATGAAAAGAGTAGCTAATTATAGTTTTATTTTATTATTTTACTTTGGGGAACTCACTAGAGGAATAGATGCAAAACATGTAATGGAGGATGGTACCGCTCTAATATTGCTTTCAATTAGTTTTGCCAAACACAGGCCATGTTGAAAGGTAGAAAACAGATGAAAGGGATGTGCTGAAAACTGTGTATGGACTACACAACAAAGTCATTTTATATAAACTGATGACAGAAATACATCTATAAATCATATAATAATAGATCTGATCCTAATAAGGTATTCCTATACTTGTAAAGATCTTAAATAAATAATAACCAAATTTGGAAATGGTGGAAAAGTGACATTTGTGTTAAAAATACAGTTACAACGAAAGAAGTGACTAGTTAGAGTTCCATTTTTTTGTTTTTCTTTTGGGGAAACTCAGTAGCATAATAGTCACAAAACATGTCATGGAGAATGGTACCGCATGATATGGCTTGCAGTTGGTTTTTCCAAACACAGGCCATGTTGAAAGAGAGAATACACATGAAAGAGATGATAAAAAGCGTATATATGGACCACGCAACAACGTCATTAATAATCTTGAGCACATTCTAAACTTGTGATTCTGGGTTCAAATCCAAAATTCTAGCAATATTTTAATAATTTTATTTTAGCTCTCCGAGAATACTATGCATATAATCAGTTTGTCTACTCAAAACGTTGGACCATGGTCTTGATCCTTCTCATCATGGCCTTGGCTTTGATGTCAACATCAGAAGTGTTCCTTCATTTTGGTTGAATTATCCTTCATGACTATGTTCAATCTTCTTACTATTACTTTTATTATTTCTTCAGGTATTACCCATATCATTATGCACCCTTTGCTTCTGATTTTAAAGATCTAACTGATCAGGAAATAACTTTCTTACCGGGAGAACCATTTAAACCGTTTGATCAGCTCATGGGCACCCTACCTGCTTCAAGGTTTCTTCCTTCTCTCCTGATTAATTTAAATCTATTCTATCATTTTTTTTGTCTTATTTATTTTTTGTTGCAGTTCAAGTGCACTGCCTAAGAAATATAGAGATTTGATGACCGATCCTTCGTCACCTATTTTTCACTTTTACCCTGCTGGTGAGATAATAGCCTATTAATTGTTTATTGTTAAGTCTGTTGAATTTGACATTTTCTTTTTCCGATATGACATGGATACCTATTTGGCAGATTTTGAAATTGATATGAATGGAAAACGATTTACATGGCAGGTATTAGCATGTTTACAAATTAGGAATGCTCTAGAATGAAGTGGGAGTTAGGTTGTTTTTTAACTACTTTTATGGGTGCTTTTCAGGGTGTTGCCAAGCTGCCATTTATTGATGAGAAGAAATTGCTTGCTGCCACAAGAAAGATTGAAGACACATTAACGGTTAGGAATTTTCAAGTGAATGTGTGTATTTATGATTATTGACTAAGAAAACTTGTTTCATGAAAATATTTGGTCTTGAATTGCATGAAAGAAGAGTGAACTGTAAAATTAAACCTTGAGGTTCTTTTTGAATCCACTAGGAAATTTTATGTCTAAAATAAGATCAAAGTTGCATAAAATGCTTGTTCAGCATTCTCAACAGTAGAAAATGAAGCTACAACTCTTTAAGTAGGAATTGTCGAATGTTGATTGACTGTAGCCATTTTTAACAAGATAAATTTGTTGAGTGTTAATAGTCTTCCTCTGATCTATTTTTGGCTACTCAATTGCTGGAGGATTTTTTTTTAGATCTTTACTTTAAAAGATATTTTAAACAGGTAGACAACTTGGACATTTTTTTTTTGTCTGAGTTGTCCATGTTTTACAGCAAAAGAGTACATGAAAGCTTCTAATTATTGTGTCTTCAGTACTTGATTTTCTTATATGCAGGAGGAAGAACAGTTTCGGAACAGTGTGATGCTTGATTTGCTATATGTCAATCATGCACATGATTTGGCTTCACATATCTTATCTTATTATCACGTTTCTAGTCAACTAGCCCCACACGAAAGATGTGTTAGGCCAATTGACACAAATGCTAGGTTAGTGAATCTGCTAGTGATCATCACTCATCATTTTGAATTCTAATAGCTATTTAATTAGCTCATATATCTGTTTTGTTATTCTTGTCAGCAGTGGTGGGATGAATGGATATTTTTGGTTATGTGAAAGAAATGTTTTCAGCTCTGTTGTATCTTCTCCCATCAGAGGATTGCAAGATGTTGAATCTAACCAAGTCTTGTAAGTTTTGTCCTCTGACTACACCTATGGAGTAATTTAATCTTCTGTCGAGAACTCATGTTTAGTGTTTTTGTATTTCAGAAATATTACATTTCTTAACCCTCGTAAACACAATCATATCCGGACACTTCCAGATGGTGTAGTAATACCCAACAAGGTTAGTGTTCTGACTGACTACTCTTAGCATCTGACTTGAAAAGTTAATCAATTCATCTGATGGATGGAGCTACAGAACTGTTGCTTATTTATATACTCATAGTACCACTTCTAGTGTCAATAGCTATTAACTAGGTTTGGGGAGTTAGGTCAGACAGACCTGTCTATATTTTGACCTTTATTATGTTTTTTGTTCTTTTCAATTAGATGGTGATGCATCTTTGAAATAATAGTTGTAAAATGTACTTAAGAAATATCGTCTTCATTTATTTTTTGCTTAAGTGCACTTAGTGTTCCTTGATGTTCGTGTCTAGGAATTTCCCTCAAGATTATCCTAGCGAATGGTCTCCACAATAAGGCCGTATACATATCTTACATAACCTGTTTACTACGTTTGATTAAATAATAAAGCATTTTCATTCTCTAAATTCTGTCTACAAAATATTCTGTTCTATCTCTTCGATTCTAAATTCAACAATACCTGCTGTTACCTTCTGGGTTCAATAATATAGATCTCACTTTCACATTGTTTTTTTTGCAGGTATTAAAAGCCACTGATATTAAACCTTTTCCTGTGCTGTGGCATGAGGAGAATATTGTTCAGCGAATGCAAGCAAGAGAAAGGTGAGAATCTCTTTCCATGAGGATGTCAGGTTTGGGCAATATATTGCATGTTCTCGCTGGCTGGGTAAATATACAATATTGCAGCGCTGCCCAAACTAATGGTTGAGCTTAATATTCCAAAGGTTATCAAATCTGGAATTCCAAACTAATTTTTGAATCATAAACTGAAGATCGTATTGAACTGTAACATTCAGAGATGACTAAAAATAGCTTGAAATGTTCATATTGAATAAAGGATGCAATAGTTCTGAATGTAATACATTTAACCAAGTAATTTATGAAACAAGTCGACCACTAGTCAAACAAAACAATTGAGTCTCACCACCAACCTGTGTAGAGGCCAATACATACAAACCAGTAATACATAATTCTTTGCATGTTTCGTATAAATGGTATTTCGTCCTAAAAGCAGCATCCCATAATGTGGTGCGGACATAGGATAAGAATTACATTTTATTTGTGGCCTTTTGTTGCGAACAATAGATTGTGCTAAGACCTAAGGAAATACTCTTCTTTCCTTTGAGAGCTACACATACTGATTGCATGAAGCTTATGCTTTAGCATAGTTGGAACTGAGCCCTTATATTGCAAAATAGCGTTCTTATAGAGCGAGAGTGATACTCTATTTCTGAAAAATGTCACTGATAACCGAGCCCTCCAATAGAATAGCTACCAAATTGGGTGAGTGTGTGAATTTGAAGTCCATATTTCAAAAGGATGAAAACATAGCAATGGATAAATAGCGTGCATTCAATTGTGCTCCTCCATGTCTTTTTCATTTAACATTTAAGCGTACCCAAATTTTCAACTTTTACGAGAATCAATGAAAGATACAGGAACAAAAGTTAACAAATCATTGAATCATAATGGTGATGTATGGAATTGCAACTCATTTGTTTATATAGTTATATTTACAAAATTTTGAAAAGTAATTATTAGAATTTTCTTAAAGTAGTATACTTCTGGACAATCTGAAGAAGTCAATGTTGTGGAAGTTGAAAAGTTCTCGGTGACTTTCAATCCAAGCACCTAATTTTCTTGATGCATGGAACCTGTCCTTTATTCTATTGGAGATACTTGATTTGCCTGACCATTCTGTATATATGATGCATCCCACAGGCCACGAGTATCTGGAGCCATCGCTGGATATCAGCTGGGAGAAGCAGCTCATCGACTTGTTAAGAACACCCTCAACATTAAATCAAATGACGCATCCCATGGATTGCTGGAGCAACCTCCAGTCCATCATAAAACGAACAGGCTTCGATCAGCTGGATATAGAAAATATTATGGTGAGAACGCAAGTGGTTATAATGGACAATATAATCACCATGGCATGATGACTACACCAAAATATGGTGGACATAGTGACAGACAACATTTTAAGATACGCGATAGGTTACAGCGTGAAGAACAGTTCCACAATGTGAAAACTGAGTTTTCTACTCTATCGATGGATGAAAGAGAGAGAGCCAGGTCATTAAGGCTTCCAAGTTCCAGACCAATAGCCAATTTACAACCCCGGTTTGTGCAGAACATGGATCCTTCAATACCATCTACAAAATGGATGACTAAACCACAACCTACGAATGGCATGCCTACTAGGAATCAAGAAGCTGCATTGGGGCCAACAACTTATGATAAGCAGACCAAGAAGGTTTACCAAGTTAAAATACGTCAGATAGATACACCAGAATCTGCGAAGCAATAGTGGTTGTTGTGGAGTTGATGGCCAGTTGTTAAGCACAATTTGCGGCTAGGAATCAGCACTAACTGTTGCTTTGTTCCATAGTGTGGAACTATGTTATTGTGCTGCTGTATGTATAATCATGTATCATGTAGAGCTTACTAGCTTTGCGTAGCAATTAGCCTGTATGTACATACATACCTGATGTGAATATAATTTGATTTGTTTAATAGGAAATGAAGGATATTTATCTGGGATTGTCATGCCCAGCAGCATCTCTATATGTTGTATGAGATATAGAAACTGTTACATGGAGGAAGCTGCTCTAGTGACCTTCTCAATTCTGGTCGGCTTTATTTGATGAAATGTCCAATAGACTGAAAGACAGGGGTGCTCTTATCTCTCACGCATATTTTCCACCAACCTAAAGGAGTATGCTGAGTGCTAACGTGTTCTGTATGTAACCCATTTATTCTTCTTTTATTTTTGGTTCATAAATACAATCATTTAAATTTTAATATTCTGCAACGGTGATGTTCCTGGTTCGGTGACTATTTTTTATTATGTCAATGTGTCGGGGTTCACCATATTAAAATTCAGTATAGTACTCTTCATTTATATTTTGGGCCACATCATGATCTTAGTTTTTTTTTTTAATTTCTATTAATTCGATATTATTTATGATTAACAAAAGTTGTAAAATGATATCACATGATTATTAAGTCTATATTTCAATATCCTACAACAATAATTGTTTATTCAATAATATAGTTTAAATTCACTTAGAAGTAAAAAGTAAATAGATCCATGGATTCGAGTCTTAAGTATATAATTGTGTTAAATATCTGTAGTGTCTAAAAGACATATTTTACCAAAGTCATCAGTTTAAAAATCAATTACTGAAGTTTTAGTTAACAATGAGATAAAAGTGAACAGATCCATGAATTCGAGTCTTTTTATATAATTGTGTTAAATATTTGTAGCCTCTAAGATACGTATTTTCCTTCAAAAATCCAGTTTAAAAATCAAAGTACGGTTTAGTTAAAGATTATATTTGGCTGATTTCAAGTTTTAAGCAACTCCAGTAGTTATGTAAACTTCTGATCAGTCCTAGTGCATTCCAACACAATCTTCAAATGAGTTATAGTAGTTAATTGAATGTTTACTGATTATAAATGTGAATAATACATGTAGAATAAGCCACAATATGGTCTTCCAAAATTCTCATTTCCAAGTAGTCTTTAAATAAAACTATATAACCAATCTTTGAAATATTGAATGTTTGTCAAGGTTCATATATTTTACTTAACGTCTAAGGATAAATTTAAAAAGTTATTTAATATTTTAAGGATTATTTAACACGTTTTTCAATACTTAAGGATATTATCTTAAATAAAATAGAAACACTTCAAGAACTAAATTAATGGTTCTCTCTCTCCCTCTCCCTCTTTCTCTCTCTCTCAGTTCTCACCCCGTGCTACATGTTTCACACTAGTCACTAAATTGGGTAATAGATGGATAATGTAGTTTATTCCGAAATTGTGCTGAACTTTCATGAAAGTATGAAGTTCATCGTTCAAGCTCATCATTTCAAGATTCCTTTTTACGAAAAGCAGTTTCTCACTGCCTCTTTTTTTCAACACTTTTGTATTGAATTTGCATTATTTTTTTATATTTTTATATATTGTTCGTTTCCCTGACATTCTTTTGCCATGTGGTCGTCAGTACTGAAATCATTATATTTAGGAAATTCGAATTTGGAAGTTGAACTATTACGAAGGCACGGGCTCAGAAATGAAGATATATCCGATAATTGAATAACCACAATATATAATGTCTTTCAACCCACAAGCCTCTTTCCATGAACCAGAGAATCCAAATAATGGAAAGGAAGCAATGTAGAGCACACACTTCGACAGTTCAGCTTTCCCAGAATCAAATAGTAATAACTACCTAGGAAATGAGAATAACTTTACCCAGGAGAAAGGAAAAAGAAACTGACAAAAGAAATTGCTCTTCACTGCAATCTCAAATCTTCGACTCAGTACTTCCAGTATGTAGAGCAAAATGCACAAATGATCACTCTGGTGTCATACCAAGAGAAAGATAAGGTTCTCGAATACAGTAATCACGTGCAAATTGATCCTTTCTAACTTTTTTAAACTGGCCCTTCTGTTTATACATTTAAAATATAAAAATCAATGCATATAGAAAAGGAAATGTGCCCAAATATGTCAGAGCTCCAAAATCACAAAGCTCACAAGACTCTTCATGTATTGTAACAGAAGTAGTGAATCTTTTGAGAAAAACTTCACTCACGATTGCACATACTTCACAGCACATCAAAGTACAAGGAAGCTCGTGTTGGGCTGTACATGTAAATTATTTATAAGCGTAGAAGAAAATTTTACAGAAGACAAGAAAAACAAGAACACTTTATTAAACAACTGCTGTCTGCAATAATGAAAACCTAAACTATTAAAAAAAGAAAAAAAAAATTACTAGCTGTGTAACTACCCTATAAACGATTGGTGGATAAACACGTAAAAGCTTTGATTTATTTTGAGTCATCCTCCACCGGAGGATCGCAACTCCTCGAGAGCAACCTTGATCTCATTCTGCACCAATTCCAAACGCTTGGAATACACTTCCAGCTCCAAAATCTGTTGCTTCCTCCACTTCTCATCCATCACCATTTCCCCAATGCCCAAATTCAATGAACTCAAAGCCATTGGCATTTGCATTTGCAAGGAATTCAATGGAAACCCTCCTCCAACTCCAAACCCTCTTCCCCCAAAACCAAAACCACTTCCAAATCCCATGCCACCACTCACCAACTCCTTCAACACCGGCGACACGCAACTCCTCACTGTCTCTTCAATCAAACCCTGTAAGCTATGCCTATGGTTACAATTTTCATTATCTTTGTTACTATTATTGTTACTATTGCCAATACAATTACTATCCTTATTCAACGCTGAACCGTCGTGGAACTCGCGCTTCTCCGGTCGAGACCGCGACCGCTTCCGCGACAGCGACGTCTTCGCCGAATGGCTGAAATTAGGGTTGGGAATAAGATTAGGGTTAGGGTTGATTTCGTCGTCGTCTTCGACGGGGCCGGTGATTGGAGCAGTGTTGCTCCAGATCCTCCGCGAGATTTCGAAGGTGGCTCTGTCGTGAGGGCTCTTGAAGGAGAATTCCTTGCCATCGTTGATTTTGGTGAGGACGTTGCGGTACTTCTTCTTCAGCCTTCGGAGCTTCTCGACGAGCTGGTTCTTGTTGAAACCGAGTTGAAGCTTCGACTTGATCTGGTCGTAGAACAAAGCAGTGTCGTTGTGGTGAGAGGATCCTCGCTGCGCCGTGTAGTCCAGAAACCCCTGCAAGAGCCCAATTTCGTCCTCGTCCGTCCACAGACGCTGGAACAATCGCCGCGAATCGTCCAGCGCCGCCTTTTTCTCCTCGACTTGCTCCGTGCGCGGCCTCTTCGGCGAGGAATCGGCGACAACGATAGCCGTTGACGCGGTGCCGAGTGTTTGGGAGACGGCGGAAGCGGGGGCAGCCAGGGTTATGGCTGCGAGGACGGAGTGAGAGGGTTCCGTTTCTTCATCGTCTAAAACGTCGTCGTCTTCGTCATCCTCCTCTTCGTCTTCTTGAGTTTCGTCGTCGTCATCGAGATCTTCTTCAGGGAAAACGGTGTCGTTTAGATCGGATGCCATGGGCATTGAGTTGAATTTGTTAGGCGAAGGGCGTAGTGGGTGCTTTCTTTCTTGCTTTCACGGGATTTCGTTGTTTTGTTTTTAAGGTATCACTGTTTTTTCACTCACTCCCTTCCAACAACAATTAGAATGAGAATCTCGGAGCTGGTTTATTAGGTACTCGACCAACCAACTTCCCCCACTTCATTTCCTTTATTGCATAATTTGATCCCTAAATTTTTTATTTCATATTTAACATATATGCATATGAATTTTATTATACTATATTCATGTACCAAACAATTCTAATATTTTTATATGTTCATATACTATAATATTAGATAAATTTATATATATACTATATATATATATAGACTATATATATAA